TACAAAGGGCTTTCCAAAAATTTGCTTATCCATGAATCTTCACATTTTTTTCTTCATTTTTAATGCTAAAATTGAAGATTTACCATCTTTGTAGGCCTGCGGAACCCACAACCTTCTTTACCCAGCTGGGTTATAGACAATCAAAACTAAGCATTCAAAGCTAATGGCATAACATCTTTATAGATGCTGAGAGAAAATAAATAATGTCAACCTACAATTGTCTTGCCAGAGAAATTTTCGTGCAAGGACAAGGGTGAGATAAATGCACTTTTAGATAAACAAAAGCGGAGACATCAAAACTTGCTAATTGAAGAACTTCTGAAGTTTCACTGTCCGATGTGGTAGCCACTAGCCACATGTGACTGTTTCAATTAAAATATATAAAATTAAAAATTCAGTAACTCAGTCACATTTACCAGTGTGGCTAGTGGCTACCATATTGAACAGATCAGAGACGAAATATTTCACAACTGCAGAGAGTTCTACTGAGCAGCACTGTTAAAAGATATACCTCAACATGGGGAATCAGGGACGGAAAGGAGGAATGTGCTATCACAGAATGGGGTGGGCAATTAGTGTCACATAACAATGTATATATAAAATTTTCTATGGAGACTAACTTGAAATGTAGACTTCATTTAGACTACCACACTAAAAAAGAAAGAAAAGATATAGCTCTAGAAGAAGGAGAAAATTGCAGAACAAAGGTCTGAGATGCAAGGTGGAAGGTCTAGTAAAGAAAATGATAAGTGAGTAAATCTAAACAAACACGGGTCATATAAAATAATATTAATGTCTAAATTGGTTGGTTACAAAAGAAAATACAAAACTACTTACATTATACATGTAAGCCAGGACAGAAATGATTAGCATTAAAATATTCTAAGATATTTTATTATTCATGTAAAGACTGGACCAAGAAATAAAATTAAGCAATATACTGCTTATGAGAGACACACCTAAGACATAAAGGCTCAGAAAAGCTGAATGTAAAAAGTTGGAAAAAGATGTACCAGGTAAATGCTATCCAAAACAACGCTGTTGACAAGCTTTATGAGAAGTTAAAAAAGGTCAGGTTATCGTGATAAAGCTTTAATTCAGCAGGAAGATAATATATTTCAGATTGTATGAAGCTTCAAAACATATGAAGTGAAAATTGATAAAACCGTAAGAAATAATCGACAAATCCATCATTATAGTAAGAGATTTCATATATGTTTCTGCCAGTATTTGGCAGATGAAGCAGATAAATGAGCAAGGATGCGAAAGATTTCAACATCACAATTACTCATCTTGATCTAATGGATTTATGCAGAACACTGCACTCAATAATTGAATCGTTTGTTGCCGTGTGCCTTTTGAGTTGATTCCGACTCACAGTGACCCTACAGGACAGAGTAGAACTGTCTCATAGGGTTTTCTGGGCTGTAATCTTTACGGAAGCAGATCGCCAGGTCTTTCTCCTGCAGAGAGGCTGGTGGGTTCGCATTGCTAACCTTTCAGTGAACAGCCGAGCACTTAACCATTGCGCCACCAGGGCTCCTTAATAATTGCATAGTATGCAGTATTTTCAAATGCCTGTGGAACCGTTATGAACATTAATTGTGCATAAAACAAATCTCAACAGATTTCAAGGAACTGGTCTTACACAGACCCTTTCCACTACCAGTGTGGTCCACAGAACAGCGTCATCTGAGGATGTGTTAGAAATGCAGAAGCTCAGGCCTCACCCCAGACCTCCTGAACCACAATCTGCCTTTTGACAAGACCCCCGGAGATCCATATGCTCATGAAAATTTCACATGCATTGACACAAGACCTATTTTCTGACCGCAGTGTGATTAAGTTAGAAATCAATAACACAAAGATAGTTAAGGAAACTTCACGTATTTGTAAAGTAAAAACACACCTGTAAAAATAGGAATATATGTATATGGGAGATACTGTTAATTCCATCTACACATAATGCTTGGTGTATGTGTTTTTTTTTCCACCCCTGTGGGTTGGTTCCCTGAGTCCTTGACCCAAAAATTGGGAACAACTGCCTTAAATTTACTGTCAATCCAAAACTAAAAACCCGTTGCCGTCGAGTCTATTCTGACTCGTGGTGACCCTGTGGGACAGAGTGGAACTGCCCCGTGGGGTTTCCAGGGAGTGGCTGGTGGATTCAAACTGCTGACTTTTGGTTAGCACCTGAGCTCTTAACCACTGCGCCACCAGGGCTCCTTACTGTCAATAATACCAGTTTAATTATAGGTAATATTTTGAGAACTAGTATGTACTTCTTCCTTAGCCTTTCTGAATATTATGACTCTATCCCTGGTTGGCCTGAGAAACACATCGGCCTGAGGAGAGATTAGGATTTGTAACAGCAAGGAGGCAGAGAGGAAGAAACAGGTGATTTTTAAACATTTTCTTATGAAAAAGTTTAAACATATACAAAAGTAGAGAAACAGTGTAACAACCCCCCATGGTACCCCTCACCACCTAGACTGTTTTGTTTCCTCTGTACTCCTACCCACCTCCCCGCTTTGAGTTATTTTGAAGCAAACCCTAGACATCTTATCATTTCCTCTGGAAAGATGTCTACGTTTTCTCTAGAAGAAAAAGAATATTTAATAAAAATGGGCACATTATCAGTAACCTACTCAAAATGAATATTTTTTAATATCATTAAATAGCCACTCAGTGTTCAAATTTCACCAATTATTATCTCGTAATTTCTACTTTTAACAGTTCATTGTTTTACTCAGAATCGAAATAAAGTTCATACACTGCAAAAACAAACAAACAAAAAAACTAAGCATTCAGTGATGCACCTTTTTAGTTTAGCAGAACTGTACAGTCATTAGGTAGGATGAGAAAATTCCCAATTTTCAACATCAGTTTTATTCTAATAGATACTTCTGATCCATGCTAACAAGAGAATGAACAATTCTTCCTCTGAGGGAGGGGCTGCAAGATGTCAAACAAATAGCAACAAGAACAACAATAAACAACCAGCTAGCTCATTTACTGAAAAATTATTTTTTGAAAGACATTGTTCTAAGCATTTCATGTGTATTTATGTGTATTTTTTTTTCCCATTTTTAACTTCATAGCAATCCTGTAAGATTAAACCCCTTTCCTTGGATACACTTCTGACTTATAACGACCCCATGTGTTACAGAGCAGAACTGCTCCATTGGGTTTTCTTGGCTATAATCTTTCACAGAAGCTGGTCTCCCGGCCCTTCTTCCATGGTGCCAGTGGGTGAGTTCAAACTGCCAAACTTTAGGTTAGCAGTCCAGCACAAACCATTTGCACCACCCACGGACATTCCCTATAAGATTAGTACAATCATTCTCCTTATTTTACAGATGAGGACTCTGATGCCCAAAGAGGTTAAGTAACTTGTCAAAAGTCACACGGTGCAGCTAGGATTTCAACCCAGGCAGTCTGCTCCAGAGCTTGAAGTCTTAACTATCATCTTATACCAAACGGTCTCTTAACAAGAATTGCTTAGAAGACACCACTCATATTAAATACACACATACACACAGATGCACACTCTAGTACGTTTGGAGAACTAAACTTTATAGTCATTTTGTAAAACACTTTATTGATCATCTTTCCACACCCTCATTTTACCACCATGATCTGCCACTAGATATGTGTGTCCTGGACATCATAAATTATGTTCAACCTTTTAAATCCCTTAAAAATGGCTGACAAAAAAAATCAGTTAAATTTCTCTATAATAAAGCAACCTACAGATCCTATAGTTAAGAAGAAAATAATTCAGATTTGTGACTTCCAGATGAAACTCAAATCCTGACTGACCACCATTAAACTAACCTCTGTTATTTGTGTTTTCTGTTTTGTTTTCACTTAAAAAAAAATAGATATTTCAGAAAAAATATAATAAATATTTGTTTAGTAATATACTAGCATGAAGTTACTAGGCTAAGATATTAACTAAAGAATCAGAGGGATTTTTTCAGCTTCCAAATATATAAAGATCATCAATTTCATCTTTAATATTAGAAAGAAGTTTAAATGGGAAAAAGATGAGCAAAACAGGATTCTAAAATCAATATACTCAAGCGTTATTGTACATTGGGATTCAAGGAAAGAGAAGTATTCCTAATAATATCTTGCAGCTGAATCATTAAATTATTTAACAATAAATGTAAACTGGCGTAACATAGTTCATAAAGATAATGTTCTACATCCTAGTTTGGTGAGCAGCATCTGGGGTCTTAAAAGCTTGCAAGCAGCCATCTAAGATACAATCATTGGTCTCTTTCCATCTGGAGCAAAGGAGAATGAAGGAAATCAAATACTCAAGGAAGGAATTAGCCCACAAAACTAATGGCCTTCACGAACCACAGCATCCTCTAGCCTGAGACCAGAAGAACTAGATGGTGCCCAGCTATCACTACTGACCACTTCGACCAAGGTCACAGTAGAAGGTCTGGGTTAGAATGAGAGAAAAATGCAGAATGAAACTCAAATTCATAAAAAAGACCAGACTTACTGGACTGGTAGAGACTGAAGGAACCCCCGAGACTATCGCCCTAAGACCGATACCCTTTTAACTTGGAACTGAAGCCACTCCCGGTCACCTTTCAGCCAAACAATAGATTGGCCTATAAAATAAACAATAACACCCATGAGAAACGTGCTTCTTAGAACATTCAACTATATGATACCAAACGGGCAACATTTACCCAAAAGCAAAGATGAGAAGGCAAGCAGGGGCAGGGAAACTGGAAGGATGAAAATGGGGAAGGCAGGGTGGAAATGGGGAGAGTGCTGACACATTGTGGGGAAAGCAACCAACGGTACAATTTGTGTATGAATTGTTGAATTGGAAACTCATTTGCTGTGTAAACTTTCGCCTAAAACACAATAAAATGTTAAAAAATAAAATAAATGCAACATAAAAAGACATCTGAAAATATGAAACAAGAAACGTTCTATCATTATAAAAGTGCAGTAATGCAACACAAACTTACCAATTCAATTCCCTGTGGAAAAGGTGTATCATCCCAGTCCTTCTGTGGAAATCTCTGGATTATTTTCCCCAAACCTTCTCCTGATGATCCTGTTAATTAAATCCAAGTGAATTAGTTACCGAGCAATTAAAAAGTCTGAAAACTTTCTAAATGAATATTTATTGAATAAATTGATATACTGTTTAATCATTTTCAAGTTTAAAAGAGCATAAAAGTCTTTACCTTCTAAACATAATACTGAAATGGCAGGTAATCCCTATCCTATAAACCAAAAACTATCCCGTTGCCGTCAAGTCGATTCTGACTCATAACGACCCTATAGAACACGGCAGAACTGACTCATAGGGTTTCCAGTGCTGTAATCTTTACAGAAGCAGACTGCCACAACTTTCTCCCAGGGAGCAGCTGGTGGGTTCGAACCGCCAACTTTTTGATTAGCAGCCCAGCGCTCAACCACTGTGCTACCAGGGCTCCATCCCCATCCTATAGATGCTGAAAAAAGTGACTGACATGTATGAAAGCAAGGAAAATAGATAAGAGGTACTGAAATCTCGAGCCTCTACCCAGGGATGGATTACCCAATAAGCAAGGTACACAACGTAAACCTATGCGTAACTTGCTAACTGGTTAACGCACCCATCTCTACCATATCACGGAAATAAGGACCCTTTGTTCCCCAACAAGTAATCTTCTCAGTACCCTAAACTGAAAATTAACAACATTTTTCCTAGGGAGACAAAGTAATTTAAGTGACAACTGAAATGGTACTGTTAGCACTGAACTTCAGTTATGGGTTAAGCTTTTCTGACTTTACTTGAAATGATTACTTGTCCATTGTCTAGGCAGGATTTCTCAAACTTAGTCCTACTGACATTTGGGCCAGATAATTCCTTGTGGGCAGCTGTCCCATGCATTGCAGGATGTTTAGCAGCATTCCTAGCCTCACCCCACCAGATGCCAGTAGCACCCTTCCTCTCAGTACGTAACAACCAAAAATGTTCCAGACATTGCCAAATGTCCCATTGCCCCCACTTGAGAACTCTGGCCTACAGCAGTTATTACAAAATTATCCTGTGACACCAAAGAATAGATCAACTTGTAATTCAACTTTGGGGACATAATACGTAAGTAACTTGGAGATGGAAAGTACATGTCAGAGCTAGACTGCTTTTTGCTATACTTTTTAAAGAGCTTCACATGATGCCATACTTTACATGCTATCCCAGCTCACTCTCAAGTGAAAGCAACCATACTTCTCTTTTTAGATCCTGTGTCTATTACTCACTGTATTTAGTATACCCCTCACTTTGCTTTGTTTTGTTAGTGTATACATACCATGCAACCATTTTAGATTAACAGGTTGATGGGCATTTATAAACTCAGTGAAAATGATTCCAATAAAATTTTTTAAAACTGAAAAATGGAAATTATTCAATTGCATTATATTTTTTTAAATGTTCAAGGAGTCTCCTCCAGAAAATATTTTCAAAACAAACTTTAACAATATTGGCATAGTGTGATTAATTTTTTTTTATTTTTCCACTGGAGTCAAAACTTCCAAAGTCAAAAAATTCTTGGTCAAAAAGCTAAGAAGTTTCCTGAATACAATCAAACACTTTGAGGGACAGAGTAACAGGGGTAGGGATCTGGGGACGGGGACATCTAGGTCAACTGGCATAACAAACTTATTAAGAAAATGTGCTGCATCCTACTTTGGTGAGTGGCGTCTGGGGTCTTAAAAGCTTGCAAGTGGCCATCTAAGATGCATCAATTGGTCCCAACCACCTGGAGTAAAGGAGAATGAAGAACATCAAAGACACAAGGAAAGTAGTAGCCCAAGAGATAGAAAGGGCCACATAAGCCAGAGACTTCATCAGCCTGAGACCAGAAAAACTAGATGGTGCCCGGCTACCACCAATGACTGCCCTGACAGGGAACACAACAGAGAGTCCCGGATGGAGCAGGAGAAACGTGGGGTGCAGAACTCAAATTCTAGTAAGAAGACCATACTTAATGGTCTGACTGAGACTGGAGATACCCCGGAAAGCATGGCCCCTGGATTCTCTATCAGCCCAGTACTAAAACAATTTCCGAGGCCAACTCTCTCCAGACAGGGATTGGACTGGACTGTGGGACAAAAAATGATACTCCTGAGGAGTGTGCCTCTTGGGTCAAGTAGCTACAAGAGACTAAATGGGCAGCTTCTGTCTGGAGGTGAGATGGGAAGGCAGAGAGGGTTAGGAGCTGGTTGAATGGACATGGGGAATCGGGTGGAAAGGAGGAGTGTACTGTCACAGTATGGGGAGAGCAATTAGGGTCACATAACAATTTATGTATAAATTTTTGTATGGGAGACTAACTTGAAATGTAAACTTCATCTAAACTACAACAATAAAAAAAGAAGAAAATCGCCACCAAAAAAACAAATCTTGGTCAAAATATGCTATATACACCTCACCGACATTGGCACTAGTCCTTCTATTCCATTCTATCCCAAAACAATCTGTTTGGAAAGTCAATATTGTGCCTAGTGGCTGTTCTTCCCCCCTTCACCTCTGAAGAATATCACCCCAGAGAAAATGGCTGAAGCAAAAGCACAATGGTAGGAAATCAGAACTTCTGGCCTTTCACAGGTAAAATCAAAATGAGGCCATATTCATCTTGCAGGTCCCAAGTTTCTCGTCCTTGATTCATAAAATCTGTTTTTAACAAATGACAGTTTTTTTAAATGTTGTTTTATCTATACCCGAAAACTAATATTACAATAATCAAACAAAAACAATCAACCAAAAATTCAAAGTTCACCAAAATAAGTAGATCTAATTATGCCAGTATAGACCAATTTTCAAAGAATAAGGAAAACAAAAGCTGTTCATTCAGTGAAAAGAAAGCATGCAGGAAATCACTCTACAAAAGGCTTTCATATTTGATCCGTTTAGAACTTAATGAAAGAAGTCTGTTTATTTCAACTGAAACAAGCCTTTCTGTGGTTATTCAAAAATTTAGGTAGGAATGCAATGTGATTTTCTGATTTTCCAGTAAAATCTCTTATTATTCAAAAGGTTTATTTGGAACACACAAACTATTTCTTTCCAGAGTTAAACTTAGCGAAGAGCCCACAGGCTTTTATAAAAGTGAAAAAGTATGTATTTTAAAATTGAGCAGAAGACATAAAGAACAAGGTATACCACTAAAAACAATAAGTTAAACAGGGATTCAGACAGACACTTGAATACCAATGTTCACAGCAGCATTATTCATAACAGCTAAAAGGTAGAAACAACCCACGTGTCCATCAACAGATGAATACATAAGCTATACGTGGTATATACACACAATGGAATACTACTCAGCCATTAAAATACTGAAACATGCTACAACATAGATGAATCGTGAAAACATTATGCTAGGAGTTAAATAAACCAGATACAAAATGGACAAATATTACATGATCCTTCTTATATGAAATATCTGGAATAGGCAAATTTATAGATGGAAAGTCTTTACTATCCTCTGTCCACCAGAAAAACTCCTAGGCCTTCAAGGCCTGCTTGAGGCATCTTCTCAAACATGTTTGTTGTTGTTGGGTACCACAGTAGATTCTGACTCGTAGCGACCCCATGTGACAGAGTAGAACTGCCCCCATAGGGTCTTCTACAAGCAGATCGCCAGGTCTTTCTCCTGGGTGGGTTTGAACTGCCAGACTTTAGGTTAGCAGCTAAGCACTTAACCAATTATGCCACCAGGACTCCTTAGAACGTGTTACCCCTCTCATAATGTAACTAACAAATCCTTCCTGTAATCCCTCATTACACCTGCTATTCCCATAGTACCTAGATGTTATAAATTAAATACCAAAAAACAAACAAAGAAACCAAAGCCACTGTCATCAAATTCATTCCAACTCATAGCAACCCTATAGGACCAAGTAGAACTGCCCCATAGGGTTTGCAAGGAGCAGCTGATGGATTCAAACTGCTGATCTTTTGGTTAGCAGTCCAATGCTTAACCACTCAAAAAGATGTGTTGGCCCAGTTAATTGGCCTAATAACGTGTTTAGTGCTTCTGTTCTACCTCGTAGTTCGTTGCATAGTGCCTAAGGCCTTAAAAGCTTGCAAGTGGCCATGTAAGGCACAACAATTGATCTCTATTCCTCTAAAGCAACAGAGGAAGAAAGAGAGACAGGAATAGGAGAAGGATATGGAATGTGCGGCTAATTGCCTCCATAAACAACTACCTCCTTTGCCATGAGACCAGAAGAAATAGATGGTGCCCCACTACCATTACTGAATATTTTGATCAAAGAGTCTATAGAAGAATCCTGATGGGGGTGGGGGGCAATGCAGAACAGAATTTCAAATTCTCATGGAACCCAAATTTTCTAAACCCATGGAGGCCGGATGAACACCTGAAACTATTACCCTGAGATAATCCTTCAACCTTTAACAAAAAATATCCCCTGAAGTCTTCTTAAAACCAAACAATAGTTTAGCTTAACTAGTAAAGAATGTCTGCCTAGAGCATTGAGCTCTCTTAAGATCTATCTATTTGAGATCATACTAACAACAGCAACTCGAAACATTAGATAGGAACCTTAGAGGGCAGTGAGTTTGTTAATTAGGGGGGAACAACTCAGAAAAGAAGGGTGGGAATGGTTGCATATCTTGAAAAATATAATCAACGTCAGTTGAACTGTACATATAGAAATTGTTGAAATGGTGTATGTTCTGCTGCGTATATTCTCAACAACAACAAAAATGAACGCATGAAGGAATGAATGAATGACTAAATAAATAAATAAGTCTTAGAATCCTAACCCCTACCTATACCTGTGAATAGGATCCCTGGTGGCACAATGGTTAAGCTCTCAGCTGCTAACCCAAAGGTTGGCCTTTCAAACCCACAAGCTGTTCCTCAGGGGAAAAGACCTAGCGATCTGCCTAGGGAACTCTGTGGGGCAGTTCTACTCTGTCCTATAGGATCACTATGAGTTGGAATTGACTCCAGGGTACACAACAACAACATACATGTGGATGTAGCCCCATTTAGGAATAGGGCATTCTTTATTATGCTAATGAAGCCATATCAG